TTGATTACTCGGTTTTTCTCCTCAGTTAACTCAGGATGCTAAAACTGCCTGCAGGCTCACTTCAAGATCAAGGACTTGGGGGAGATGAGATACTTCCTTGGTCTTGAAGTTTGCAAGGAGCAAACAAGACATTTTGGTTTGTCAAAAGAAGTTCACACTTGATCTCATTGCTACACTTGGCCTTGCAGGTTCTAAACCAGCCTGCACACTTCTAGACACAAGCCATAAACTCACCAGTGCTGAGTATGATCATGCTAATGCTCATGCAACTGTGGTTGTTGATGAGTTACTCAGTGATCCAAGCAGCTATCAGAAATTGGTTGGGAAGTTGTTATACCTCACTATGACAAGGCCGGACATCAGCTATGTTGTCCAAAATCTGAGCCAGTTCATGCACAAGCCAAAGAAGTCACATTGGGAAGGAGCAATAAGAGTGGTAACACTACAACATTTTAGGCCTTTGACTACCCCGGAAAAGTGTGGCCTAAAGTAGCAAAAAGTGTGGCCTTTGGTCAAAGGCCACACTTTTCGACTTTAGGCTGGGGGTGGCCAAAAGAAGCGTAACCTTTGACCTAAGGGCACGCTTTTCAAATGTTACCTTACAACCCACGCTTAAAAACGTGGCCTATTAGTCAACAAAGACAACGCTTGTTACACCCCATATGGCAACGCTTTTATACCCTACAGCTACACACAAAAAGCGTGGCCTTTGTTACCTTTTAGGCCAAACTTGTTAACCGTGGCTTTTAAAGGAACACCTAGAAAGCGTGGTCTTTGATTATATACATGCTAGACGTACAGACAAATGGCCACACTTTTAAAGCGTGTCAAATTTGGCTAGGCTATAAAATTTAAAAATTTACAGTTTACATATAATGTAGTTACAATTATTTCAAGCACATGCATTATTATCATATATTTTGATGATATCAAGAACTAAATTAGTTAATAAATACCAACAATAATAATTCAAAAGAATACACATACTAATAAAACAATGTGTCAAAATGCCCATTAACAATAAACTTTCCAAAAGTGAGTATATTCATATAGTATCATGAATATAAGACATCTTAATTATCCAAAAAAAAATCGCATTCACATTACAATCAAATTGACTTTCCGCCACCATTTCCAATTGCGTCACCCACTTTCTCCTACACATAAAAAGAAATTAATAATTAGATAAAAACTAAACTTTGATCGTTCGTCAAGAAGAACAAAGACTATGATAACATATAGTAGCACGTTGTTTTGCATATTTTTCAATCACATATAAATAAAAATTTAGTAATGAGTATAATAAACAAAATATAGTAGTCCCATTTCACTCACCTAAACACTAACTCCATGACTCCCACTCCCTCACGTCACTAGCATATACTCTCACATATTTCTTCACCTCTATCTCATGTCACAGCCGAGACCAACTCCTTTGCACTTTATCAGGTAACCAACAAATTTTCCTTTATAAAAGAGATGGAGAGCTAACAGAGAAGAGAAACTTTAGGGGGGGGGGGGGG